TAAATATTATCAATGTTTCGTTAAACTCACACAGTTGTGCTTCAGGCAGATCTTCGAGTGTCCTGGGCCCATAACCTGTTAATTTATTGTTAAAGCACAAGCAAAACGACATATATTTAATAGTTTTAGTTACATAAAAGGGCTTTAATTTAAGCCATGCGGTGTCGAGCAGAACACAAGTTAAAGTGAGAAAATTTTTAAATTAGCATACAATAAGTAGTGCTTACTAGATCATGTGACTAGCACTATGATCAGATGTATAATACTTTGTTTAATACATATGTAATGTATCGTCATTCCTAACATTTTGGACCCTGGTGTCGAATTTTTGTCTGTGGTTGACTTACCTAGAATTGTTAGTGCGGCATGTGTGGGGAGCATGTTTTCTTGCCAAATTGGATTATCCATTTTGGTAACAGAAAGGAATCAATCCATCAATGAAAACAATAATAAACTACCCGTCGTGGAAGAGCCTGTTAAGGTGCATAATTACGTTTAATTATCCATAATGGTTGACCCTCCACAAAATAACACTCAACTACCTATTGAGGTAGGGCCTATTAAGGCACAAAATAATACTCAACTACCTACTGAGGTAGGGCCTATTAAGGCACAAAACAACACTGAACTACCTATTGAGGTAGGGCCAATCAAGACGTCCAATAACCCAGAACTTCCTGTTGTTGCACAAAATATTGAGCTAAGGATGGGGTTAAAAAAACAAAGTACCTATTATGGTGGAACTTGTTGATAAACTGATTTGGGTTATAAATTATGAACACGAGCTTCAAGGTCATGTAATAACTGATGGTGAAATTGAGTCTCACTACTATGAAATTCGTTTGGCACTTTCCAATACATTCATCAAGCATAGCTATGCTATATTAATATTAGAAGACTATATGATGGCAATAATAAAGCAATCAAACTATTTTTACTTATTTGATTCTCATGGCAGAGTCTTTAATGGAATGCCAGATCCTAATGGCACTGCAGTTGTCCTAGAATTTACATGTATTCTGGAGTTAGAGCAATTTTTGTGTTCTCTTACAAATAACTAACATGTTAATGTGTTTCAAATAGTACCTATTCATGTTAAAAAAACTAATGTAAAGCCTATAACAGGTAATGAAACTGACTGTAAGCAACAAATCAGACATAGAAAGTGAATGATTTCATGAAAAGAAAGCGGTCAGAGGAAACTGACTCTTGCTAAACAGAATAGACTTGAGAAAGATAGACTGTTTAAACGACAAAAGAGGTCAGTCGAAACTGACTTAGAATGGCAAGCCAGACTTGAGAAAGACAGTCTACACAACAAAAGTGGGCAACAATATGGTCACAAAATCAACAAGATTATTTGATTATTTTTGACAACACTATGTATGGTGGAATGGAAGAGCAACCTTGGGCTAAAGCTAATATGGACAATTTTCATAAGTCAGTGCAATATATTTTTAGTCATTGTACAATTTGTCATGAGGCATGGCCCCTTAAATCTAAATCAGCATCAATTTAAGTGTGTTCACGTTGCTCTAGAGATAAAAAGTATCCTAGAAAGTTCTCATTTGAAAACTCCATGATTCCCTCATCTGTCCCAAATGAACTGCAAAACTTAACTCAAGTTGAGGAAATGTTAATTGCTTGGGCATTTGCCAATTATGAGAGTTTATGTTAAACCAGGTGGTCAACAAGGTTATTCAGGGCATTGTATCAACTTGCCACAAAATGTCACATAACTTGCCAAATTTTTGCCAAGATATCCTAAAGATTTGGCTGTAATTATCATCAAGGTTAAAGGCAAGGACAATACCAAAAATGTGATTGTGAGAAAAAAAAGTACACAATGCTTTAGTGTGGTTGAATAACAATAACCATATTATTCTGAAATATTAATTAGTGATCATGCACTGAGTTTGTTGCCTGCAAATGGTTCACCGCCAGAGCTGATGACTGTGGAGACAGATGATGATATTACTTCTGAGATTAGCTCTTCCTCTGATATCAGTGGCAGATCAAAATAAATTATAGCTCCTCAATTTTAAGTTCAAATTACTTTCAGAAAAGCACTATTGGTTGTAATTTTTAAATAATATAATTTTACGAATGGGTTACTCTCTAAGGTGCTTAAAAATGTAAATATATGCCAAAATGTGCTGCAGTAATTTATTTTGTTGTACTCTGGATCTGCCACTGCCTGATATGGGTCCTTGTACTAATAATTCTTCTGAGGATATTGTATACAATGACTCTACAGATATGAGTAGTTTTTTACCTGTTGGTTAACAGCAACAACAGGAAGTTGAAGCTGTCAAAAATAAGCTTAATGCAAATGACCCAATGTTATTGCCTACAATTGAAAGTGAACCAATAAATGAATATCATATATCACATTTAGCCACAATGGCTTTTCCAACATTATTTCACGATGGGAAAGGTGATTGTACTAATCAAGAGATTTTAAGAGAAGCTCCTCTAAAAGAATGAATAAAGCATCTTTTAAAGTTTGCTGAAATTATTGATGGTAAATGGGTATACCATTTTGCAAATCATGGTATACCCAAGATTTTCCTATTGGGCTTTTAATATGCTTCAAAGAAAACAAGTTTTATGTCTAAACTCTGCAGATATGTTGCAAATATTTCAGGTTCAAATGCTTACTGGAATAGAGTTCAAGAGGAGCTAAAAGCCATTATTACAAATGTTCGATCACCAACATTTTTTACTTTCTCTCTGGCTGGTATGCATTGGCCAGAGTTCCATGCATTATTTAATGCTAATGTTGATTGTAAACGGTCTCGCACCACCAGTGAGACAAGGCGACAAAATATTATAAAAAATCCTTATCTTGTGGATTGGTTTTTTACACAAAATTAGAAAGCTTTATTGAACACTGGCTTTATGAAACACTTGGTGCAAAATGGCACTGGTTTAGATACAAGTATCAAGGTAGAGGTAGTATCCATTGTCATGAAACTGCTAAACTGAAAAATGACCAAGGTTTGTGTCAACTTACTGAGACTGCCTTAAAAGGTTTCTTAACACAAAAGTTTAAGGAGGAAAATGATTATTCTGATACAACAGAACTAGACCAGCACATTGAAGCTGGTCACAGAGCTGCTGAGACTGTATGTCAATATGTGGATTGGTTATTATCAACCATCAATCCAAATTCACCAGATGAAGACATTTGGATACGACCCAAGGTTCATCAATGTCAGCGATCTCATAAAGATATCCTTGAATACGAAAAACAATCAGATTATGAAGATCTTGTAAACATGGTTCAACGACACACTGTTGTAGCGCAAGTTACTGTCTCAAGAAAAAGGCAAACGAAGAAGAGTTGAAATGTCGCTTTCATTTTCTATTTTAACATTGTGCCAATACAAAATTAGAATTTGAAAAATTCTAGGTATGGCACCTAAACAAATCACTTTTAGAGAGTAATTGTTGGGACTTCGCAAAGGTGACTCAACAGTTGATGATTGGAAAATGCTTCTTTCCCATCAACCTTCAAAAGTCTCGAATATACAATTATTCAAAGATGAAAAAAAAAGAATGATAGCACAACGCTATAACCAACAACTACAAACAATAACGACCTTATCTAACAACATTTGAGAAATTAACCTTCCACTCCTCTTCCCTGTAAACGATACAAGTCTACTCAAAAGCAGAGAGGCCTTATACGCTACAAGTCCCGGGCTTGTGACCGGTATAGCAGAGTTAAAAGGTGAAAGGTTTATCATAGATAAACCTATCGTAAACCTATTGTATCGTTCACAGGGAAGAGGAGTGGAAGGTTAATTTCTCAAATGTTGTTAGATAAGGTCGTTATTGTTGGTTATAGCGTTGTGCTATCATTCTTTTTGTTTAATAACATTCCAACTATTTAACCTTGTGATTATTCAAAGATGCTACTAGACTTTTCTATAGCAATGAACAAGTTGCCAGTTACAATCACGAACAACTAACAAAGCTTGAACATCCAATTGCACAAATTAACGCTTGCCGTTTGTCAGAAATGATGAAAAAAATTCCTTCTGATGACATGTCTGGCTTAGAACCAGTTGTTTTTCTGGCTAAAGGTGCCAGAGTTATGCTAACCATGAATTTGTGGTCAACTGTAGGCCTGTGTAATTGAGCCACGGGAAAAGTTGTTGATATTATTTTTCACAACAACCATCAACCACCAGACTTGCCTATTGCCGTCATAATTGAGTTTGAAAACTATAGAGGTCCTGCTTTCAATGTAGACAAACCATTTTGTGTTCCAATATGTCCAATCACAGTCTCTTCACAATTAGAAACTGGATTTCATGAGATGCAACAGCTGCCTCTAAGACTCGCTTGGGCTCTAACAATACACAAGAGTCAAGGACTAACACTTCCTAAAGCGTGGAAAGATATTGACAAGTCTGAAAGAACTGCTGAAGTTTCATACGTTGCAATAAGCAGAGTAAAATTAATTTTATCTTGTGTCATTGAACCAATGACTTATGAGCGATTAACAAGCTTGAAATCATCATACAATTTACAATACAGGAATGAAATCTATAAGTTGTTTATTTAAGGAGTCATATTGTTCATGTTGCGACAAAGCCAACTCTGTCTAGAATTCTATAGTCATTTCTTGTATAAGTTGTTTACCAACATCCCACCAAACCGGTAAGGAAGGGTAATGAACTTTTTCTTGTTCCCAATCGGTCCAAAATTTTTTGATTAGTGTAACATATGTTTCATTATTAACTAGACTTTTATCAAATTTCCAGTAACCCCTCACACGCTCCAGTGCATCCGGAAGAGAAAAGAAGATATAAGTAAGAAAGATCACTGTGAAAATATGAAAGTATCGAAATATCACACACAGATGGCACCAGGGAACACGATATCCAGATCATATCCAATCTTGAACCAACCTGTCCGCCTGCACGGGACCATGTATAACTGCATTCCTTGGATGAGGTATTCTCCATATATTGAGTATATCCATATCCCTGGTGAGAGTGGCCAAGGTGTGTGGCCAATTACCGAGACAACCCGTGGCCAGGGTGAAGCAAGCTGCAATCCCATGGCCGGTATCCAAAAATCAGTTTAATGTAAGAGTCGGGCATCGCCCGACATACCAGATATGAAGCTGATAAGAACAGATCAGTAGAATTCAGAAAAAGCAGATAATTATTTACAAGGTAGTAGTTGTTACTATTAAAGCAAGTTATATAGAGAACTGTTAATATGTAAATATATAATAATGACAGGATTGATAGAGTTGAGAAGGAAAAAAAGACAAGAAAAAAGGTATGTAATAAGGTGGGTTAGATGAGATAAGTATTGGGTAGGTAATGGAGGAGGAGTTAGTATAAACAAATTGAGGGGGGTGAAATAAATAGGATGTGTCGTTTACCCACTGAGGGTAAGAATCAGTTATTATAGAATAATTATGTAGGCAGTGTATGTAGTAACGCTGTATGTTTATAGTAGTTTATAGTAGATGTCTGCGGATCCCTGTATGACGTCAGTACAACAGAGCTTCTTGAACAGACATTTGTAGGTTTTCGACATTTGCAAAGCTGCCAAGTGCAGAGTGCACCAACAACGAAGGCAAATAGATCACATTGGATCGTTTTTTATGATAATAGTGAACAACTTTTTGGTACTTTTCAAGTTTACCTTGTTCTCTGTTTAACGTGTTGGCATCACAGTGGCATAGGGTATGTGGTAGGGTTTCTTTGTGGTTATTACATACACGTAGATGCACAACAGTTAGACCAATGGGCCTTGTTCTGATTTGTTGGAATGATGTTGGTTGAGTCTTGCACGATGGATGAATCTCCAGTCAGGGAAACGCATATTTAGACCGGTGAAGTGCCAAGGTGAATTGTTAGCATGTGGATCCTGAATCATTGTTCATGCAACTTTACCTTTACCATTGAGGGGTATTGTATGTGGGCCTGCAGGAGGCACTTAAAAGGTGATATTTAGACATCTGCAGGCAGATCGTGTCCTTGTCTACAGCGAGTGAGTTCTATATCTAATGTGGTCTGGATGGAATTTCCCTGTCGGTGAACCTAATAGAAAATCTTGTGTTAAAGATGGAGATGGATTTGTCTGGGCGCCAAAAGCAACGGTTCCAACAGGTCTTGGAAAATTATCCACCAACCTTTTTCGAGGCAAAGATTATGTGAGATGTTGCACGGTGTGGGAGGTGACAAATGTACTGTACGGTTTCAATGAGTTTTCTATGATAAGTAGACATTGAAGATTTGTTCGGTTCACCAACGTGGAGGGCAAAGGTGAGAGCAGGTTGGATAAAGGTGTGTATCATGTCTAGTTTTTGCCATAGTGTGAGTTTAATTCCGCAGACATTTTTAAGCATACATCATGCCATTACCAGAAACTAAGTTGCTTAGAATACCTAAGATTCGAGAAGTAAGCTGTTGTCTAGCAAGACTTTGTGCGCGCGATACTAGCGCTTTTCTAGCTTCAGAAGTCCCAACCAGCTCATTAAGTTTAGAACTAGCTTCTTTCATTAAGGCGCTGCGAGTGCTTTTTGCGCGCATTTTTGCAGTACTAATACCAGCTTCAGCCCCAGCACGAGCCACTGCAGATGCACAGGATTTAGCTTTTCTAGCCACGCCTTTAACATCCCCGCGAGCGAGATCGGCAACAAGACTGATTTTTTTTTAGGCGAGAACTGCTCTTTGCAGTCAGTATAACAGCCTCTTTGGCTGCTGTAGATGTGTCACGAATTGCCTTATTACCATCCGCCACAGCCACATTCTTGATTTTTGGAGCAAACGTACCTATGCGAGATCCTAAGGCTGCAGCTGCGGACTTCCCTGCACTAAATAGCGCACCCTTTGCTTTACCAGCAAGGCCCACGAGGTTTCCAATTAATGACCCCCCGACGAATTTCCGACGAACTATACCATGTTTACTTGCTTGAATTATCATTATTAAGTATTCATATAAAAAATGAGCCTTTATAGTAATAAAAGGCTTTGAATTGAATCCACTCATGAGCATGTATAATTACATTTTCGGGAGAAGGTTTAAAGTGTAAGTAACTTGCTCACCATTCAAATCGATTTCATTTCCTGATTGATCAGTAATTTCCATTCCTACCCGAGTAAGAAAACTATTTTTTATAACTGGTAAGTAGGTTAGTGGGCTAGGATTTATTTCCAACAAACCAAGAAAAACCAAGAAAAATTGTGAAATGATTGCCAAAATAGGCTCTGTTAACGTTACTTGCCAAAAAACGCGCGAAAATAGGGAGCAAGCGTTGAAAAACTTCTAAGTTGGCTTAATTAGTTCTAATGTCAATCATTCACGGAATATTTAATGCAATGTAACTTCGTCGCCGTACAGAATCGGTAGATATCAGGTTAAAAAGGGATCAAAAACACTGTAATAGCGCGTATGAACACCAGTAAAAGCTTACCAGCTGATATGTTCGAGTGTAGAACGTGTTTCGAGCGCCAGCGGTGGAAGAGTATACGAACCTTGCGCGACAAGCCTGAGTTGCCGAGCGATAATATGATTGAAACGACTAAGATTAGTGTGCGAAATATTATTGATTTCTGTACGAGCAGCAGCTAGCGGTCGATAGTAGCTGTTGAGTACACGCTCTGGCACGAATATTCGATGGAATAGGGAGAATAAGTTCACTACACGGCTAGAAATCGGCGAGGGTGTCCGATGTGAATGTAAACAAACCACGGAACGGGAATTTAGTCGCGAGCGGATATGTACTTTATATTATGTGGAATATATCGGTAAAAGGCGGTCGTTGTGCTAATTCGCCGATACAGACTCTGCGGAAGGGATATAGGAACAGTTCTAGTGTGTGCTACCGTCAGATCTGTCAATCGTTGGACAGACAGGCGAAACGTCCGGTAGTAGAGGTATGGCACGTAGATGCAGTCGGCTGATTATTGTATGCTCGGGCCGACTTTTTGGGTGAAAACTCGCGTGGAAACTGTGTATTTGATCGGTTGTCAAGGTTTAACTAGAGAGCTTAAGCAACTAAGTTTTACTGGACGGCAACGGCAAGAGGAAGTTGTTTTTATTTCCGTTCTGCGTTTTATGTATTTTGTTTACGCCGTCGGGCCTCCGCGCCGACGTGCAAATACTTGTTTGAAGGTAGCTTCTAAACCTCTCTAAAATTAATATGGCTGGCAATTCAAAGAAAATGTAGTGGACATATGAGCACGATTTATTGTTGATGAGAGAAATGAGGGTTAGTGATCTGTTTCAATACAAAAGGGAAGCCCCAATCGGGGATTAGGATGGGATTCTATTGTTGAAAACTTAAATAAAACCGAAGCGCCAGTCTACTTTAAAGACAAGAGAAGTGTTCGATACCGTTGGAATTTTTTAAAAGCTAAGTTCAAGCAGAAGATGCGCGAAAAAGAAAGGGCAAGTGGCATTGATGTCGATGAACTGTCGGAGAAAGAAAGTTTGAATGAAGAGTTGTGCCAAAAAGAGGACAGCTCCTTGAGAAAATGCTATTGATATAAGGATGACAGCCTTGGAACGAATGGGTGAAACAAACAAGAAAAAATCTGATAGGCAAAACTCAGATGTTAAGCTTAGGATAGTACGCCGCGGAAGTTGTGAATTAGTCAAATATTTGAGAGAAAGATCAAGCAAGGAAATTGAAATCCGTCGTGCAGAACTAGAAGTAAAGCGAAATGAGCAAGAAATACAAAATCGATTCAGTACCCAAGCAGCTACACAACAAACAGAAGTCTTAAAAATGATGCAACAACAAAATCTAAAAATGGAGAGCCAAGCTTTACTTCTTCAGCAGCAACAGCAATTGTCAACAGCATTTCTTGACATTATTCAGAGGTTCACAACCAAGTAAGATTGTGTTGTCACTTACAAGGAAAGAATTCTTAACTGTTGTGTTTTAGCAATCTGTGTAACTATGAACTTTTAATGTTTTGTTATTTGAACTATAATAACTTTCTCACTTACACTTGTCAGTATTTACATAACATGGTACATACTTGCTAATTGTTTGTGTGTTTAATGAGTCATTTTGGCATTCATTAATTAGTTATAAAGTAATTCTCCAAGGCTAGAGGTCTAACTGATAAAAACCTGGATGTTATACATACAAGTTAGTGAATTTCTTAATAATGCACAGACAATATATGCTTTCCCAACACTACTTAGACCTATTTTGAGGTTTTTTTTGAAGTCCATGAACGGAATGAGTTGATAGCATCTCCAAATAACCATTCCACAGACACTCTAACTGAACTCATTTGCCTGTTGAATTCTTTCATTCTGTCTGTGATTACCCCATGCCGAAAAGGAGCTTGTAGATGAATCCTCTGTGGATAAGCAGGATCCCCATATATGCAAAATGGTCTCCCATCCACAGAAAAAGCATTTTGTTCCAGGTCTTGAAGGAAGTTTGAGTCAGCCAACATACCAGCATCTTTTTTTTCCTTCTGTAATATAGAAAGTATTTGCCTGAGTTATATACTGTTTTTGCTTCTACAATATAGTGTGTACAATAATATTTTCATTTAAATAATATAAGCATACCAACTGGACCAAAAATATGTGCAATCAAACCATTTGGCAATGCCACACCCTGGAACTTCAAAGAGTGAACTCTTTTATGGCCATTGTAAACAATTTGCTGATGTTTTGTTGGCCGTGAAATTGGTCTGACCGTTCCATCAATAAAGCCAATGCCAAATCATAAGGTGCTCCTTTTTCATGGATGGCATTGGCATAAACCTGTAGATTTTCTGGGCTTAAAACATGGTTCCATTCTGTAATTTTTTGCTTATGATAATTATAAATAAAGTCAATGATGGTATTTGCAATCATACACAACTCAGGAACTGGTCGCCCAAATCTGCCAATCATGTCTGAAAATCGACAAGGGTAAGCAAGACGATTTAAAAGAATGCATAGCCCCTCCAGTCCTGAACATGTTGTCCTTTGTGGACACTTGACTATTTCAGAGATTCTATGATTTTGTTGGAGGAAAATCAAATCGTGTTTGTTGGCTCGGAATTCTACTTTACATTCATCCTCACTTAGATTATCTAAACAAAATGGCTCACAATTTTTGAATGGAAGCTCTGGGTTCCTTGATTTATATGCCTTGTACAATATGATCAATTCATATTCTGTGATGTAACCTTCTTCAAAAAGCACAAGACAAAAGTTTTGTATTCTTTTAAATGAAGACATGAAAAAGAGTTCACTTTCTATCGCCGCTTTCTATTACGAACTTTGCTTAACTTTTTTAAATATACGCGGGAACGTCATGCTCGTCCCAGTCTTCCGCGATGTCTCACGACGCCGTTTTCGGATAAAACGTAGTTGCTTAAGCTCTCTACTGTTAGATCTATGGGCGGCAGTGATGAAATTAGCGGTCAACCAACGGCCAAATTGTTCGAAAGATTACATTGGTTTCACAGGCGTCCAATCTACAGGTCAAAATTCAAAATTCAAATATGAAAATTCGCGAGTCACTCAATATGCAAACGAACAGGTATGTTTCCTGTTTTTTCATGAGCACATTATGCTCGCCCATGTAAATGTTTTTGTGCACCACCGATTTTATTGATTTGATTCCCCTACTGTAAGGGGCAAGAGCCGTAGTAATGGCGTCATCTGGGATGCCTTAAGATAACTGTGAAATGTACACCCGCGTAAAGGGAGAAACAGATTTAAATTCCACGGGTTTACCATGGACAAAGAAGACTTGGTTTGAAAATGCATGCATTTGTCGTGCATGGTAAAAGGTTAGGCGATAACGCTCAGGTAAGATCTGAACCACAGCCTTGACGATGCAAGATAACTCTCTTGCCTTCAGTAAATTAATAACATCCTTAGCCCCTTTTTTAGGTAGTGGGCAATCGGGATGTAGAATGATATTAAAGATCCTTGACGCATATGGTATCATTATTACTTATTATTATTATATTACTCATTATTATATTATATATTATTATATTGTTATTACTTTATATACTACTTGCAAATGGGGGCGTATGACTAATTAGTCATGCATTCGATCATACAAACAAGAAGAGACGTTTATACAAGGAAAAAACGTCCAAAGCAGAAATGTCTTTGGCCAAACAGACCAATTAAAGCAAGAAAAATGTTTATAACACACTTACACCAGTTTAATATTGCCAACTAGTGAAAAAGCATGTAAGGAAATAGCGTATCTTTGAGCCAAATGCGCTCGACTACGCCCACAAGAAATATAGAATCGCCGTGTAAATGTATAACGGCAAATACAAAAATAGCAAGAAGATTCTACAAGCGAATACTGAGTTCACCGTGGAACAGTAAAAGCAAAGGCACAACACACTAGTTTATTAACAAACTAGTTTGAAAATAAAGCAATAGCAAAGCAAACAATCAACGTGCTTCACGAGAAGTAGATATAGTTTTATCAACTTGAACAGATAACGTTCAAGCAAATTACACGAGAAAACAACCACGCTGAATAGTAGCACTCAGCATTAAAGCAAATACAAAATAGAAGATCGAGCAAGAAGGTATATAAAACAACGCCCGATCAACATACAAACGACCTTTAATAAACGATCGTTTCTTTCAACAAATAAACGTTCAAGCAATTATATAAACTCGAACACACACAGTGAAAATAGTTCTAGCTTACAGCTTATAGCTTATAGCTTATAAATCGAACATGAAGACTTTTAGAACTCACGAAATAAGTCGACGAAGAAAGCTTCCCGAAAATAAAATGGCGATAAACACGAAAATACCAAAAAGAACGAACACTGAAGCTGTCAGAAGATGGCCAAACCACCCCCCGACTAGGCCCTAACAACAAGAACAGACGAAAGACCCCCTCGTGTTCGGTTGCCCCCTAAATGGGCCCCTTAATAAGGAACTACCAGAAAAAACGAAAAACCCAATACAAAGATGACAAATTACAACTGAGGAACGAACTCACGATTTTGAAGACGATACCAATCAACAATACTGGTACTCCTATCTTTAAAGTTTTAAACTTTCCTGCAGTGGATTGTATATTGTTCTGCTGTAGTTGATCAATTCCTGAAATATAAACTACACGATTCGCCACCATTTTATCCTGTCTACTTTACATCGATTTTAAATCATTGTGGACTATTTATAATTGGTATCTACGTGTTCCTGTCTTTCTATCATGGCTCAAAAAATCAATATCACAAAGAAAGAATTTATGACTCTAAGCCAATTAATGACTCTAACCATGAGATGATCGATTCTATGAACTTCTTAAATTTATGCTTTGAAGAAATTAAACAATGCACCCTCTGCCTTCCGACAGTGATGATCATATAAACAGTCCTCCACCTCTTTAAGTTGTATGATAATGTCCTCGCCGGCATTACTGCGAGTTTTAAGATCAATTAATTGTTTAGTTAAGGAGTCATATTGTTCTCTCTGTGAGAAAGCCAGCTCTGTCGAGAACTCTATGGTTATCTGTCGTATAAGGTGTTTGCCGATGTCCCAGCAAAAAGGTAAGTATGGGTAATAAAGTTTCTCCCGTTGCCAATCAGTCCAAAATTCTTTAATTGCATTTATGTATATTTCGTTATTTATTAAGCTTTGATTAAATTTCCAGCAACCCTTCCCAAGCTCCGGTGCATCCGGAAGAGAAAAAGAAAGATAGACGTACGAGTGGTCGCTATGAACATAGGGCAGAATGGAGATTTCCTTAAAGGTCACCTGAAATGCAAAATTCATATTTCTGTTTATTTGACATATAAAATGTATATATTGCGTAGACTATTCAAGAAAATTTGAAAACAATCCCATGATTATTTTAAGAGATATCAACGTGTAAATTTGTGTTTTTTTTGAATAGAAGTAAAAAATATTCCGTCGGTTTATCGTCGGAAAGTACTCGGCGTGACGTATAGTTGCCATTGACATTTCGCACAAGAAAGCGGCAAATATGAATTCATAAATAAAGTTTGATTTTGATCGGCTATTTTAAGATGGTTTACTGTGTGGCATTTAACTGCAAAAACGGTTCTTCTAAGAACCAATCTAAGGCGAAAAAAGTTGGGTTTTTCAGTTTCCCCGCTAAAAATCCTTTACACCAAGCATGGGTCGATAAGGTGAAAAGGAAAGATTGGAATCCTTCGAAAAGGTCAAAGCTCTGTTCGGCACACTTTGAAGCCTGCTGTTTTGTCCAAAACCCTGGAGTCCTGAAATCTTTAGGATGGCGACCAACCAGGTTAAGGTTAAAGAAAGATGCAATACCAACGATCTTCGACTATTCGAGGTCGAAAGTTGGTGATAAACGGAAACCGGAGGCAACTAGAAACGCGTATGCAAAGCGCAGAAAATTAGAGGTAAAGTCTTGTAGCCAAGCAGTTTTTAACGTCTCAAGGTTAATTTTTTACATGAACTCAGCGAAAATTAACATTTTGAAAAGTGTTTCCTTAATTATGTTATTCGTTGCACAGGGACAGAAACCGAAATTATCACGACAAATGCAAGAAGCACTCAAACGGAAGGTAGTTTATCCGTAGATGAAAACGACAATGATGATGATTTCCTATCAGATGCTGAAATAAGCACTTCAGAAAACAACAGTACCGCAGATGAATATCTTAGTTTCAGCGAATTTGAATCGTCAGATGATGAAGCATCAATTGCCGAGTAAGTTAGTCTGCATCATTTTGAAATAAGATAAACCAAAACATAAGTTCATTTCAAGTATTTTACAGAGCAAGATAACATTCATATAAAAAATCAGTAATTTTTCCATGTTATAGGGAAAATGATGTTACTCAAAAAAAAATATATAGTTTTTGACAGCTGTCTAAGAAAGTTGTTCTCTCAGTGTCGACACTGTGGTGGTCACTGCAAGATGTCAACCAGAAGCATTGGAAGCATGGTGAACATCATCGCTAAATGCTAATGTGGCTTTCTTAATAATTGGAATAGTGAACCTACTCATAGTCAGATGCCATTGGGTAATCTCTTGCTATCTGCCAGTATTCTATTTAGTGGTAACAGCCCATCCAAAATCCTGCAATATTTTCAACAAGCAAATGTACAGTTCATTACTGAAAGGTGCTACAACTATATACAAAGTGGATATCTTATTCCAAGTGTTTTGAATGTTTGGAAAAAGCACCAGACTATTATGATGACAGAGCGTCAGGGAAAGCAGGTTGTTATTGGGGTGATGGACGATGTGATTCACCAGGCTATTGTGCAAAATATTGCTCATACAGCTGCATGGATTTAGAAAGCAATAAAATTCTAAACACACAATTAGTTCAGGTAACTAGCTCAATTCATTAGTTTATAGTATTGTATTCAAAACAGTATTGTATGCAAACACATTTTAGGAAATGTGTAATATGTACTTATACAACATGAATACAATGTGTGTAACTAAATCATGTGATATACACCAACATACATGCATACTTGCAGACATACATATCCCAAACACTGTATGATTTTATTTGCATTAATATATCTATTACAGTCAAATGAAGTTGCAAACTCAGGGGCAATGGAATTGGAAGGACTGAAAAGATCTTTTAAACTTATTCAGTCACACAATCTTCAAGTGAGTCATCTTATCACAGACAGGCTTTGCCAAGTTAAAAAATACATGAAAACCCAACAGCCAGGAGTGAAGCACTATTTTGATGTTTGGCATGTGGCAAAAGGTAAAATTAAGGCTACCAAAAGCTGCTCAAAGTACAGCAATGGGTCTTAAAATAAAGTACTTCCTGATTTGATCAAAGAGTATCTTTATAATCATAAATTACCAAGTGATTAAGAGGTTTTAGAATTTTTCTAATTGCATTTAATTTCATGATATTTTGATCAATTATTGCTATGTTTTGCATTACAATTTTTTAACCAATGTACAGTGTCTATTTTTTTCTACAGGTATCAAAAAAAAGGTAATGGCAGCCGGTAAGAAGAGTGGATGTAGATTGCTACTTGATTGGGCACAGTCAATATCTAACCATGTCTACTGGTGTGCTGCAAGTAGTGGTGGTGATGAGAAACTACTTAAGGCTAAATGGCTATCATTGCTGAATCACATTTGCAACATTCATGATGGTCATCGCGAATTATTTCCAAAATGTGAGCATGGTACTCTTGAGCCTTGCTTATGGATAAAGAAAGGTACAAATTAATCCTAAATGCTCTGGTATAAGACATAATAGTTATTTACAGTAATTGATACTTTCTTTATCAACAAACTTCAATTGCCAGCCAATGCCACAATGTGGTGTTATTTGTCAACATATGACATAAATGGGCACCATAAAATTTTCTATCTTTTCCAAGGATCTAGAGCATTTACTGAATTGGCATCGATTGTTGAAAGCAGGTATCTCATGAAAGATATTGGGAAGCTCAGCCATGAGAAACAAACATCAGCTCTTGAAGGTTTTCATCGAGTTGTTATACTATATGCACCAAAGCATACACATTTCTTTTACAAGGCAATGCAAGCTAGGTAAACAAACAATAAACAATGTTGTTTTCATACTGAAAATGATTGCAAGGTGGCACACTAAAAAGTAAAATTAAATTTTTAGATTACTGATTGCTGCTCTCCATTTCAATGAAAATGGAAGTAAAGAAAATGGGGAATTAATGTGGAAAGTGTCTCACCCCAAATCAAGACAGTCATGTGGAGTCATCAAAGGTGTTAAAATTGATAGTACTTATGGTAAGGACAAGTTTTAGCACTCAAAAGCCAAATAATTGTTCTACTGATGGTACATTTCTTGCACTTCTCAGTTTAATTCTTCTCCCCCTGTTTTACAGACTATGTGAAACAACTAATGGAGGAAGTGATAAGGTGCAGACATGCTAATTCCAGTTTAAACCAAGCAATTGCAACAGAAAGACAACAAAAAATACCAGATCCACTGACTAGTAGAGTTGAAAAAGTTGATAAAGTAACAGCAGTGCAACAACATACTTCACGATTCAATCTTAACTAAACTGAAGTCTAACACTCACAGGTATTTATAAATGCTGTGCATATTCAAAGCCTTTATATATGCCAGAAGGTGAAGGAAATGCTTTCCTTATTTCTTTAACAGCACAGGATGGTATAGGAAGTCGATATTTCTTGCCAAGCTTTCCATGTATCCATGCTGTCCATTGCCTATAGGCAGTGTAACGCAAAGTTCTGGGAAACAAAACAAAATCAAACATAAGCAAATTATTGTCGATATATGAGGAGATATCAAAAAAGCTGAAACTGACTCGGTTTCTGGAGCGTCTGGTATTGCCCCGTGATCGTGAACGAATACAACCATAGCTGTTCTAACGACTGTTTCGTTGATGCAGACCATGTGAAACTCTTGTTCTTCTGTGATGCATAAATGGTCACCATGAATTTTAGGGTCTGTCTTCGGTTCCTCATGGCAACAAATGCTTTCCGGCCGGTTGTCATCGCCACACAGTGTCCACACTCACACCTGCCATTAAAATAAAGAAAAGAATTTTATGACGCGATCTGAAATGTTAATCATGAAAAAGCAACGCACCAGTTTGTATTTCCAATCCTGTGAGTATATTCGTCAGATGAGCTGTCCGTTGACGACGACGAAGACAGATCTTCGTCAGTTTCAACATTATTGCTACTAGCTAGCGGTTCAAACATGTAAGGCTGGACCTCCGTAGCAATATATTCGATGTCAAATTCGACTTCTTCCTCCGTTGAAGACATCGAGATAAACACGCATTAATAGTAGCAACAACAAAAAGAAAATTGGCGAAATTTAATTTTTACTGCTACTGGCTGCACTGAGCAAAAACATGCAATGGCAACTATTACGTCAAACTCGCCCCAGCTTGGGTAATTCAAATTCGCTCACGCTATTTGAATTCGGCCTTCGGAAATCGTCAATGTCATGAATTCAGAAGACCATATCTCATAAAATATAAAACATTGGACTTTCAAATTTGGCGAATAGGCTAATCATTAGCTAAGCTTTCATATGAAGCAAAGTTATATCAAGCATTTCAGGTGACCTTTAACGTATGGGGCAAGTGCCCTAGTGATGGCTTCATGGGGAATGCCATAGGACAAATGCGAAATATACACCCACGTGAATGGGGAAACAGAATGAAATTCCACGGGCTTTCCACGGACGAAGAAATCTTGATTTGAAAATGCCTGCATTTGGCGGGCATGGTTGAAGGTCAAGCGATATCCCTCTGGTGAAATCTGCCCAACAGCTTCGACAATGCAAGACAATTCACAAGCCTTTATCAGGTTGATCACATCCTTGGCTCCCTTTTTCGGAAGGGGGCATTCAGGGTGCAAAATGATATCGACGGTTCTCAATGCGTACGGTATCATGATTAGTTAATAGTAGTAGTACTTATTATTATGAGTACTTATTATTATGAGTACTTATTATTATTCCGTTTACGAAGTACTAGCCAACGGGGGCATATGATAAATTAGCAATGCATGCACTCATGCATTCGATCATACAAACAAGCAAATCAGACGTTTATACAAGAAAAAACGCCCAAAGCTGAAAAGTCTTTGGTCAAACAGACCAAATAATAGCAGAAAAAGGTTTATAACACGCTTACACCAGTGAAATTCTTCCAACTAGTGCAAAAACACGTAGGATAATAGCGTATTGTAGAGCCAAAATACGCTCGACTACGCCCACGAAAAATATAGACGCCGCTGAAATATACAACGGCAAATACAAAATAACAAGAAAAGTCTACAGTTAAATACTAAATTCACCGTAGAACAAGAAAGGCAGAGGCAAAATACACTAGTCTATTAACAAACTAGTACAAAATCAAGGCAGGAAAGAAGCAAACAAACAACGTGCTTCGCGAAAAGTAGAGATAGAATAACTTGAACAGTAAATGTCCAAGCAAATTACACGATAGAAAACCAACGCTGAATAACAGCAATCAGCGTCAAGGCAAAATACGAGAGTAGAAAATTCTAGCAAGAAGTTATAAAACAACGCCCGATCAAAGTCCAAACGACCTTCGATTAACGATCGTTTCCTTTAGCAAAATAAATGTTCGAGCAAATATATAAACTCGAAAGCACACAGTGTATAATAGTTCCAACTTATAGCAGAAACCAAATAGAATATAATCGTAAGTGAAGTCTTGTAGTTTCACTTTAGCAAGTCGAGGAAGAAAGCTTCCCAAAAACAAAATGGCGATATACACACGAAAATATTAAAAGAACGAACACTGAAGAGTGAGAAGATGGCCAAACCACCGCCCGACTAGACCCTAACAACAAGCACAGAGGAAAGACCCCCTCCTGTTCGGTTGCCCCCTAAATGGGCCCCCTAATAAGGAACTACCAGAAAATACAAAACACAAAAATTTACAAACGAGGAAGGGACTCACGATTTTGAAGACGATTACCAAACAACAAATTAACGATCACAACGCGCAGACTCAGGAACAGCAAATCTCGACTTGTCACCGTGTCTGTTTGCGACTACACTTGATCTTGTTTTGGGTGGGGATCGGTTAGGTTACGAAGTCGGGGTGTGCAATGACGACGAACCCATACGTGCAACACCAGTACACTCAGGGAGGCCGCTACAAGCGACGAAGATCGACAGAGGTTGTGAACCACTCCCCCGCGGACAAAACCAACAGAGAAATGAAAAAGGAGAGATCTAGGATCTCTCGACGATACTAAGTTCTGGCATAAATGCATAAATGCCAGAACTTTGACGAAAACGAACGAAAACGACGAGACGAGATATTAAAAAAGGACAGCTAGCTGCCTTTTCGCAATCTACGCGACCTACGATGGACGGGCTATCCGACAGTACAACCAATAAAGGCGACCCCCATCAGCACCCGTCCCACAAATTACCAACATACAAGACATGAAATCCTTGGAAAAGGATACGGTGTTGTCTTCGGTGATGGTTCCCACCAAACCACGAAGTAACCATTCATTTTCGAATTTTGTCAGAAGACAGTGGCGATGTTCCAATTTCACCGCAAATCGGAAAGTCGACTTCGACATCCGCAATACCGAGGAGGCATCGGGTGAGAGACGGTCAAACCTGCATCGATTGCCGTGAAGCCACAGATGGTGTCTGACAATGCCTAGAATGGCATTCACGTCAGCTGGGGTCTTCTTTGCTTCCGGAAATCCGAAGAGGATGGTGGAGATGGTGAGTGGGGTTGTTAGGTCCAGGGACACCAGAAGAGGGGTGATCCAGTCCCAAACAGTGGTGGCAACAGGACAATGGCAGAACAGATGGACGGCAGTTTCCTGCTCTCCACAAAAACATTTTTCGTCTACCTTCATGCCAAAGCGCAATAAGCAGTCTGCGGTGGCCAGGCGGCCATGAAAGTTATAATAGTTTGTATCCGCCACTGAGCGAACAAAGCGCCAAAGTCTTAGGGAAAGCCATACAGATGGCCAGTGAACGCTAACTTGCATATTTTCAAATTTCTCAACAGCCTTGTGTGTTGTCAAGGAACTTTCCAGTAGCGTGGAATAAGTACGCCCGGCAGTGAGTTCTGCGAGCGGAATGGGAACGGTGTTATTGTTCCCTACTAACCACAAAGTATCTTCTCGTCGTCCTTTCAACTGCATCCACGTATGCATGACAGACTGATAAAATTTCGGAAGTTTTTTAACTAAATATGCAGGAACGTTGCCCCGAGAAAAAAGGTGTCTAAATCTTGTTTAAAGATGTCCCGTATATGGAACGCCAACAAAGGAGGCTAAGGAACAGTATATTGCGAAAGCAATAGACGTCGCAACCAGATGGCACGTAACGATAAAATCTTGGTGGCAACATGCACTACCCCAAAACCCCCCCGAAGACGAGGAGCAACGGCAGAGCTGCGGGCGATAGGTTCTTTACTTTTATTCCATAAGATTTTATTAATGGCATGCATTACTGTTTTTGGCATGTTGAAGATTGTTCCCTGATACCAAAATATACTTAATCCCAGTGTATTTGCCAGTAACGTTCGCCCTTGTAGAGAAAGGTTACGTTTATTCCAAGATGTTATTTTAACTTTGAATTTGTTGATAAGCGTGTCCCAGTCCGGTATTATACCATTGCCAACACGGCAACCTAGAATAATTAAGGATTCTGAGGTCCATTTGAGACGTACTGGCAAGTCCGTCCTTGATCTCCACAGACCAAACAGCAGACCTTCTGTTTTATCTATGTTGAGCTTTGCTCCTGTAGCGTTGGCATAGTGATTAAAAATATTCAGCAAAGCGAGCAGGCTGGCATCGTCCATGACAAAGCAGGTAGTGTCATCGGCGTACTGGAGTATTTTCACACGATCTCCATTAGGTAAGGGAAAGCCATTAATAGTAGAAGATTCTTGAATCGCACGAGAAAGCGGTTCGGCAGCCAGGATGTACAGAAGTGGGGAAAGGGGACAACCCTGCCGCACTCCCCGGGAAATAGAAAAAGAGCCCCCGAGAGCGCAGTTAATTAAGATACGCGAATATATATTGTTGTAGAGCAACTAAACCCACTTTCGGAAAGGTCCAAAATTCAAACGCAGTAAAACTTGATTCAGAAAATGCCAATCAAGACGATCGAAGGCTTTTTCTTGGTCCAGCGAGATTAGGGCTCCACCAAGATGGAAGGAGTTGGCATAGTCCAAACTATCCTGAATCATGCGCACTATTTCGCCCGAGAACCTACCAGGAACACCGCACGTCTGGCACGGCGACGTTACAAGATGGATGACCTTGGCCAGGCGGCCCGTTAAAACTTTCGCAAGGATTTTGTAGTGCACAAAAGGGTTATTAGACGCCAATTTTTTGTTTCTAACTTGTTGCCTTTTTTGTATAGTAAAGATATTATGCCGGAGCGCTGTGACAAAGACAATTTGCCATTATCGAAGGAGTCATTGAGCACAGACACCAAATCGGGGCCCATACAGTCCCAAAAAGTTTTATAAAATTCATAGGTGAGGCCATCCACCCCGGGAGATTTATTATTAGAAAAGGAATGTAGAGCAGCAGTGTATTCCTCCAAGGTCACCTCGCCTTTGCAAAAAGCCGCATCGGTATCAGATAGTCTGAGAACGATCTTGGTCAAAAAGAAAGACTGTTATGCAGCATCAAGGTATGATGCGGTAAAAAGGGTGGTATAGAAAACCATCCATACATATAGCATTTGCTTAAGAGTTCGCTGTATATGACCGCGTACATCCTTGATTTCGGTCATCAGGTGACAAACGGCTTGCAATTTCTCCCTCTGGAAGAAGTATTTGGAAGAAACTTCCCCGTCTTCCGCCCAACGTTCTCGTACTCGCAAGCGTGCACCTTCGGCCCTTGCGACGGTGATGATCGTACAAATTGTCCTCCACCTCTTTCAGTTGTACGGAAACGTCATCGCCGGCATTACAGCGAGTGTTAAGGTTAAAAAGCTGTTTAT